CTCTAGCGCTGCACAGCCATCGTTCGTGGATACTCGCGACGGATGGCGGTGTCGACGTTCCCAAGTCAGCCGGGGTTGGAATACTGCTTTCATCCCTCAATTCATTGGAGATAATAGAAAAGGCCAGTATAAACTGCGCTGCACGCCCATGCAGCTACAGGACGGAATCCCGTGCGCTGCTTCTAGCCCTAGAAAGGCTGATTATCCCTCGTATCCAACACAGGCATAAAACCCTGCTTGTGGTTGCAGACAGCCAGTCCCTTCTAGTGGCCCTCAACAAGGGTCCGCTCAGCCAGACAGACTGGACGGAGGACCAGATCTGGCAGCGTCTCTTGACACTGACGTGTGCTGGCTGGTCCGTGTAGCTGCAGTTTTGTTACGGGCATTGTGGGGTACATGCTAACGAGCTTGCAGATCAGTATGCGACGCAGGCTATGGAGACTGGACAATACACGGAGCAAGGAATCGCACCTTTATGGCACACGGATCTGCTGACATGTTTTGCTACCCAGCTCAGCAACAAGTGGCGTAGTACGATTCGTCAAGACACTCATCGCTACTTGCTTTGCGGCACAAGGCCATCAGATCTCAGCGGTAAGGACCTGATCACCCAGGAATTTCTTCACCGTCAAGAACTGGTTCACCTCGCTAGGGCCAGGTGCGGGGAATCTGAGCTCTGGGGCCGAGTATACTGGGCTGTGAGAGATTGCACGAACCAACGCCGTTTCTGCAACATCTCACCGGAACAGTCTGCATATATGCGCTCTAACAACGATCCAACTGCACCGGGGATGGACACTGTTCCCCCGTTGGCAAGGGATGAAGGCGTCTCTCCAGTAAGGAGACCGACCGTCAAACGCAGTCGGAAGGAGAAATGTCCGTACTGCGATTCTATATTGACGGGATTCTCGAATCTCGTCAGTCACTGTCGGTAATTCCATCCGAAACATCCTCCACCGCTTCCCGAGCTCAAATGTGATTTCTGTGATATGGTTTTCCCCACACGGAGAAGCACCGCACAGCACAGAAGCCGCTGCGCACACAACCCAGACGCCACACGACATCGAAACAGAAGTGCCAGGAGGCGATCTCTGCTGCCGCAGGATCAGCCTGCCTCCACAAGCACGCCAATTGGCCCGCAGGAAACCTTGCACCATCTGCTTCTAGAATGTCCAGGCACCTTGGCTGTGCGCCAACGGCTGGGCATTGAACGGGACCTTCGCCACGGAAAGTTCTCTCAATGGCAGTTGCTTCACAGCAGGAAACTTTTGTCGCTGCTCGACCACCTCTTCGGCACTCAGATGGCATTGTATAGCTAGACGCGCTGGTAAGAGTAGAAAAAAAAAAAAAAAAACTGGCGGGGATGTGATGTCGACGATTCCGACAATGTGAGCGACGAGAGCCGTGAGATTCGGTGTTCTGGGAGGAAGAGGTGCGCCAGTACCAAGTGTCAATATCGTCCAGAGACTTTAGAAGAGACGAAGCTCTCCAAAGTGTGCAAAAAAAAAAAAAATAATAATAGGAAAATAGCCTAGGAAATTGAAAGTGAACGAGTCATTTTGATTTGTGGTCAAAAATATTGCGGGAGTTATGTATTTTTGGTTGCTTGTTTGTATGCATACGATGCGGGTGTACCAGCCCCGTGCGGCAGCACCGCACACAAATGCCAAAATGTCCAACGCTATCGAACATAACAGTGGCAGAATAAATTAAGGAGGGAGGGAAAAGGGTTGTTTGGCTTCTGGTGAAAAACATTGGGTGATTTTCATATGGTATGTTGATTGTGTGTGCATACGAGACGTAATTGGAGAATTGCCCTTTTATGAGAGAATCATTGTGGCTGGCGGTGTCACGGCGTTACCGCATTGTCCATTTCCTTCTATTGTGTTCTAAGGCCCATCACTAACAGAGGCATCTTAAAGGGATGGACGACGAATAAGTTCTATTGAGGAAACAGTGCACTCCGTGTGACCGCGTGGAGTGAGGCGCCGCGTCACGGCTGGATGAGGATCCGCTTCCGCGTGTGGCTATTTGGGTGATTGCTTGCTCCGTGTGCGTTGTGTGCCGGCAGCGGGCTGTGGCCGTATCCCGTTGGCCGTGGGACTGAACTGGAGGCGGTGGCGGTGTGTCCCTTCTCCTCGTCCACGGTGTTTGACTGCTGGCGGTGTGTGCGTTTGTTGTGT